ACAAAGCAAAGTGATATCTGAAAGCAGGTGTCAAAAAATACATGACTGTGAAGATGCCAGAGCAAAGGGGGAAGGCAAAAATACTGAGTATGAGCGTGTTAGTTCCAAATTTTCCACAACTTTCGTCAATGCAGTCCCAAAGGGGCATTCAAAATGGATACAGCGCCAATTTATAGCAAAACCTGCTGGGCAGTGCGAGGAATTTAACTAGCAACGTCCCAATCGGTAGCAGCAAGTGTTGCTTTGTATACACAGACTCTGCAATTGGTTCCCTACCAAGGTAACTGCTAAAATGAAGACTTAGCCCTCTACAGCACGTCAAAATGAAAATCTTGGAAAAAGTTACTTCACACAACTTAAGGCCCATTTTCACACATTTCCGTCTGCTTACAACCGACTGGAACAAGACCGGTTTTCAAGATTCTTCTGACAGCTTACGACCGGCTGCACGCAGTGCATAAAGTTGTAAGCCCTCACAAGAGGCATAAAAACAGGTTTCTTTGGTCATAAGCAGTCACAAGTGTGCAGACCAGCTGTTACTTCAGTAACCTAATCTGCAGCAGCTGAAAAAAACAAAAGTGTTAAAGTTGAAACTGCCAACCTTTCTTTTTTTTTAATAGGCAAGATTGAATTTTGGTGACACATTAACTTTTGGCACGATTATATCTTCCGCATAGATAAGAGTAGAATCAAAAGAAAACAATAAAAACATTTTTACAAACACATTAGACCTCGCCTCAATAAGCACACCTCTAGCAAGTTCAAGTTTGGAACAAGAGCTAAACCATGACCCAATGTAGAGTCAGATGCAGAACACAGAGTAGCTGCTCTGAAATTCATTAAACACCACCACCTATTTATTGACCCAGCCTCTAGATTACAGCTAGGGAAAGATCATTTCCTACGCACCAATCAACGTTACTAAAACACTCAGTTGGGAAACTCCCATAGAGACAGCCCTAAAAATATGGCCCCAATCTGTCTCCGAGCACCGAGCTAATGACGAACACAACGCCACCATTTCTCCAGCAGCGGCCACTCGAGAAACTGCACGTGACTTCTATTTTTGGCTTTGACAGGGGTGAACCCCCGTTTCCCCGGCGGACGCGCCGCGTTGAACTCCTGAAGTTAAAATGCACCTAGGTCGGGACGCGCTACCTGAAAGGCCCGCTGATGCATGGTTTTATAAAAACAATATTAATTGTTCCGCAAAACCTTGCGAACTAAAGATGATAAAAACATCACGCGCCCATCATTTGGTACTAAACTCCAATAAATTTCATACAAAAAGAGTCTTTTCCGTTTGTTTTTACGCAAAAAACAGGCTTTCAAAAAGCTCGAGGTGACCATAGTACAGACAAACGAAAAAGAGTGGCGCTGTTGTCGCATTTAGCTCGGTCTCGGTGGACGCAACCGGCCCAGGTTTCGACGGCGAGTTTCCCAACTGAGTGTTTTAGTAACGTTGGCACCAATACACTTGTGTGATGACAAATGATGGCATTCGGGCAAAAGGCTGGAGAGCAATGCCAAACAGTCTGGCTGTGTAGCCAACCAGGCTGGAATAATGATAGAAGCTTCTTGGATATTGCTGGCATTTCAAAGGCGTAGCTGCTGCAGGCTTTACGGAAATGTCCTTAGGGTTTGTTAACCTCATTTTTAGCCTGTTCCCGATGAGGCAAGACAGTTTAGAAAATGGCCTGGAATGCTCCTGGAATTTGTGAGGTTTATATGCAAAAGCGCTTTAGTGCGGTGAGCTTCACTATTAATCTGAGCAAAGGCAATCGGAACCTGTCTTGCGCTCAGGTATACGCATACTTTGATTGAAAAGGCATAAAGTTTTGCACGAGCTAAATGATTACCCATGGGGCAGGCTAAACTTACATGTCAACCGCAGGCATCTTGCATGTGTGCATTTGGGACATTGTTTGCACTTGTAAGGTTTTTAAGAAGGGACAAGAGTCTAACTTTTTTTTCATTTTTCATTTATCATGCTGAAATTTAGTATACTGGTGTACTCTCACTGGTGATTTCAAATATGCAATTATAAAATTTCAACCAAGGCCTCCTCATGGGTCGTTAGAGACTAATTAAGACTGAGACTAATAATTAAAATTATTTTATGACATATAAAGCAACAAAAATAGCCTCACCACACAAAACATGTCTTAGTGAAAGCAATTCTATAAGAAATTCTGATATATTTTGAAGAATCTTACACTAACGACCAGTAATGACACCTAATTGAAATTACAAATTTATTGATAACTCAGGATCTAGTAAAGCTATAGACCGTTTTACTGAAAGAGGGCGAGAGAGAAAAGGGGAAAGGGCTACCGGTGCTTTCCCCCTTTCTGATTGTGTAGAAAGAGTGAAATTGCCGGATGAGAGGCTTCGCCGGTGTTGGGTGTCTGCTGTGCCCCAACTTCGTTCGCGCTTTCTTTTCTGTTTTAAACTCGCAAACTTAATTAGAGCCAGAGGCTTCGATGGAAACAGTCCCCCGGTCATCGGGACACCATTGCTGGGTCACAGGGTGCACGAATAAAAACAGAAAGCATAGAATACTGTCCGAGGACATATGTAGCTTGCAAGGAATCCGGCAAGGCGAGAGCGGCTGCAATGTCTTTGAGCTCCATCGCTTTCCACATGACCCCTGTCTCTGGTGGCAGTGGATTGCGTCCGTAAACCGAAAAGGCGTTTCCTCAACGCCATCCTCTCGACTTCGCTTGGAACAATTCGTGAATGGAGCGCGCACCGAACGCTGTACCGCCGATGAACATAGGGTACGCTCGCAATGTGCATGCGAGTTTTCTCATGATAACTGCTGTTTCAGCTTGTAAAATTTCGTAACTGAATTTATCTTAGTAGTGATAATTTGCAGTGGTGACTGACTCGATTTTATCATCTACAACACTTAGTTGAAGGCTCATATCCGCCGCCGGGTGAGGCTGAAAATTGTTGAAAACGTGGTTCTATTAATTTTTTTTTAATCGCGATCTCCTGCGCGATACTAAAAAGCCGGCAAAAGCACTCCTTGAAGTGCCGCTGGTGGGTTGTTTCCGTTGACTAAGGCGCTTTGAGGTGCTTGATAGTCGCTGCAGGGAACGTGTCGTGTGTTGCGATCTGCGTTTTCGAGCCCAGTGTGCACGTTTCTTTGTTTGAGTCATGGCATCCGCCAGTGTGGCGACGGAGGGAACAGCGGCAGCGAACGTGCCAGCTATAGAAATTGGAGGTGAGTACCCAAAATATTCCATCAAATAGTAAAATAATTCCCGGCTGCTTCGAGGCTTTCTGCGGTTCGATAAAAGTACATCTAGAGCGTCTTCGTCGTTCATTCACAAGGAAATATAAGAACAGGGACACGAAGATAAAAACAGCACAGCAAGACGATATGTAGCAGCTCCGGGCGTTTTCAAAGTTAATTGAGGTTCCCGTTTCGTGTATCGCTTGTTGATTACAACTAAAAGCGGCTACGTTGAAATAGGCCCATTGCAAGCAAAAATGTATAAATGGTTCATCATTTCCAGTCATGCGGAAGGCAATGGAGCTTAAAAACATTCCAGAAATACTTGCCTTGCCGGATTCCATGCAAGCTACATAGGTCCTCGGACAGTATTCGACGCTTTCTGTCGTTATTCGTGCACCCTATCACCCAGCAATGGTGTCCCGATGACCGGGGGACTGTCACCATCGAAGACCATGGCTCTAATTAAGTTTGGGAGTTTGAAACGTAGAAGAAAGCGCGAACGAAGTTGGGGCACTGCAGACGCCCAACACTGGCCAAGCCTCTTATCCGGGACTTCCCCTCTTTCTACACAATAAGAAAGGAGGAAAGCGCCGGTAGCCCTTTCCCCTTTCTCTCTCGCTCTCAAAATGGCGCTACCCACGATAAAACGGTCTATATGAAATACACCAGTATACTAAACTTCAGCACCAGAGAAATACACCACTATACTAAACTTCAGCACGATAAATGAAAAATAAAAAAGGTAATGACCCTCGTTTCTCTTTAAACACTGTTTTCGATAATGGCGGATCAGACTGGTATTACGAGAAAAGGATGGGGGGCACTAATTGCACTTAAATGGCTTTTCACCTGTATGTGTTTGATTATGGCTTTGCAGAGAGAAATTTCCAGCAAAGGCTAAGGTAGTCACTGAATGGGTTCCCAAGTAACGCATTCCTTTTCTTTTTGCGTTTTGCCGACAACATATTCACTCTAGCCGATCATGTTTTGGCTTGGCGAACATCACTAGACGGTAGCGATCACGTGACACAAGCACCGCCAGACTCACCTCCATCAGCGCTTCAAGCAGCTCTAATTGCCACCATCTTGGGTCCAGCAAAAACTGCACACCCGAACGTTCTGCTGCTCATCGAACGCACATTTACGCGCCGTCGTTTCCATGCGGTTATCGACGTCAAAAGCAAGGAGGTCGTGTACTTAGTGGCACAATGCCTGCTTGTTGCGCTTTTAGGTGCAGCAGCAGGTTGGAGCATGGAAGGAGACTCTTCCGGATCCCGTCTGCAAAGAACGCAACTGCAAGACAGAGGAAGAAGGCTTGGCTGACCAAAGTAAAACGGAAAGATTTCGAGCCCACTGCAAGCAAGCTTTGTGAGGTGAGTGCCGATTACACCTGGTTCATTCCGCGTATCGTGGGATGAACCAGCTCTTTCAACACGCTCCAATGCATGTCACTATTGTTTTCATAACCCCGTCGACGCGTGGGCCCAAGATGGTGGCACCAAAGTTTCGGTTTCAGCGCCGCGCTGCAGTTCTAGAATGAACCTTCGGAGTTTTGTTACTCTGGGAACCTATACGGTGACTCTAGGCTAGGGGACACTGCTTGCACTTAAATGACTTTTCACCTGTGTGCATTCGATTATGGCTTCAAAGGAAATTTTGAGAAAAGGCTTGGGAGCACTGCTTGCACTTCACTTGTGTGTGTTCAGTTGTGTAGATCGGATCGCTAAACTCAGCAATGGCTTGGGGGGCACTGCTTTCACTTAAATGGATTTTCGCCAGTGTGCATTCGATTATGCTTTGTCAGATAGGAATTTCGAGCAAAGGCTTTGGGGCACTGCTTGCACTTAAATGGCTTTTCACCTGTGTGCATTCAATTATGCCTTGTCAGATAGGAATTTCGAGAAAAGGCTTTGGGGCACTGCTTGCACTTAAATGGCTTTTCACCTGTGTGTGTTCGGTTGTGGTAGATCAAAATGCTACTCTGAGAAAAGGCTTGGGGGCAAAGCTTACACTCGAATGGCTTTTCACCAGTGTGTGTTCGAGCATGCTTTGTCAGAGAAGAGTGTTGTGTAAAGGCTTTGGGGCACTGCTTGCACTTAAATGGTTTTTCACCAATGTGAATTCGATTATGGCTTTGCAGATAGGAATTCAGAGCAAATGTTTTGTGGCACTTCATGCACTTAAATGGCTTTTCACCACTGTGCAAATGATTATGGCTTCTAAGATGGGAATTCCTAGCAAAGGCTTGAGGGCACCACTTGCACTTGAATGGCTTTTCACCAGTGTGCATTCGATTATGATTTCTCAGAGTGGAATTTTCAGCAAATGTTTGGGGACACTGCTTGTACTTAAATGGCTTTTCACCTGTGTGCGTTCGATTATGGCTTTGCAGAGAATAATTGTGAGAAAAGGCTTTGGGACACAGCGTGCACTTAAATGGCTTTTCACCTCTATGTGTTCCACTGTGATAGATCAAATTTTTACTCTGAGCAAATGCTTTGGGGCATTTCATGCACTTAAATGGCTTTTCACCAGTGTGTGCTTGATTATGGCAGGTCAGAAGGGAATTATAAGCAAACTCTTGTGAGCAAAGCTTGCACTTAAATGGCTTTTCACTCTTGGACTTTTGAGTGCTGCCGAGCACTTGGGACTTAGAGCCAGACATGGGAGGATGCTGACACTTGGATTGTTCATCACCATGGGCAGCCAGGTGGCTCACAATTGCACGTTGATCTCTGGTTACAGAGCTGCAGGAACAGCATCCAAACCAGATGTCATTGGCCAACAATGTGGCTCCATCACCTAGAAAAAAAGACGTGTGTCAATATGTATAGTGACACACGTGGAAAGGACAACCAAAATAGCAACTTAGTTTGGCAAAAGAGCAGTCATTAATGCAATGTTGCCACAGCTGTACAGTTTAATATGCTGTGCTTTGGAATGCAGTTCACAGAAGCACTCAAATGCAAATGGCACTATTAAGGGGAGTCCCCAGTGTTGAAAAGTGAAAATCCTAGAAAAAATTTTTATACATTTTTTATATTGGTTTGTAATCCCACTTTACAAATCTTCCCGCTTTGGAAAGCATTCCTGTCTTCTCAGAATTTTCTTCTCTTTCTTTTGTCACAAGAAAATTCTAGTCTTGAAAAGTTAAAATCTGGATCTGAATACATCCGGGGGCTGGATACCTCATTATTCAAAATGGGAAAAAACAAAAATTCTGGAGATAGTTAATATGAGTTTTTCCGATATGGCTGTGACTGTTCCAACTATGGCGGATCAGATTGAGTCTTTCTTGAAGTTATCAGTAAAGGAATTTCAACATGTGATGCAGTCATGTCTCACTATTATAAACACAATGCTATAGACACAATTTTGGGGGACCGATTCCTCCCCATGCTCCGTCTTGTGAATATTAAAAAACCCGCAGTCCAGACTATGAACAGCTAGTTTTGGGAACAAGCTGGGTAAATACATGCAAGTTTGTCTCATTATTACGGACACAAGAGGGTCCTCTAATAAAAGAAAAGAGCTTAGTTAAGACTTTAACTTACAGAGCTCACCGAGAGTTTCAGTAGTGTTGGCTGTTCATTGCGCTTCCTTCGAAAGGCATAAGACCTTGGCGTTGAACAATGGTTCGATTTATCAGGGCTTTCCAGCCAAGTGGGTAACCTTCCCTTCTCTCCTTATGTTACAATGTTCAAGTTTTTCATGTGCGATCACTTTTCTAGCTCGTCTGGCCTTTTCGTCTATGCCCGTTTAGAGGAGCCATGTTTTGGTCGAAAATAAGTCCGGTAACCGCAGGCACACCTTGGCAAGGCGATTATTCTAGAGGGAGCACTTTGCTGGCTCACGCCAGGACAGGAGTCTTAAGATACAGATACAGGACAGCAAAAACACGAACAGGGTTAGATTTGAAGATTCAGATAAAATATGCGCTATATGTAAAAAAGAGGGAAACATTTGAACTTTTGTTTCTAATATGTAAGGAGCTTATTGCTGCTATTTCGAAAGGTGTGACATACAAACCGGGTGCGCTACGTTTCGCTGGAGAAGATGGAATTGTGGATTACAATGAAGTAGATGCAACAAATAGAAGATTAGTGTGCTGGTGAAAATTATCTGGGAAAAACTGAATGAAAAACAACTAAGTAGCACACCCGGGGGACAGGAAGAAAATTGGGACTCCCTCCCTTGTGTCTCTGGAGCAAGGTCTCAACCCTGTGCCCCAGTGGGTCTGGTGTTGGGGCGATGCCGACAGAAAATGGGCGACTCCCTCGACGGGAGAAAAAGGAGGGGGATGCGTGTTTTGTGTTTTTTTACCCCATCCCTTAAAGGGATTTTCCGGTTGAAACCTGAAGTACTTCAGTTTTGCACTCATTAGTCGAGGGAGCTTTCATATAGACAAACGTCACTTTTGTTTTGATATACAGCCAAACCTCGTTATATCAAACAGTGCGAGGACCGTGAAATAATTCAATATAACAAAAATTCTATATACAAAATCTCACCAAAAACGCGTCAAAGTGCAGCGCGATTTAATCACTAAAAAGCTTGCAGCAAAAATGACTACTCACGTGAAGCGTTAAAATGAACTATTTATTTCGGCGAAAAAAATGCCGCAGCGTAGATTGCTTCTTGGAGTCGACCGCATGCATTATTATGGCCCACTCCACGGTCTCCAAGAAGTCCACAAGCGCCATACCATTACCGTTGGAATTGCGCTGCAGTAGCGGCATAAAAGCGTCAAAGTAGCCACAGCTTCGCCCAAGTCGGCGACGTTTTGTGCTTGGTGGATGAACATTAAGTCCTTTGCTTTCTGTTGAAGCATCGGCCCCGACACCGGAATGTTCCGAGCCCTTGCCTCCATAAACCTTTTCTGAAGTAATCTTTCCACCTTTTTGAAAACCGGTGTCCGAACACAATGAACGCCGGAGTGCATGCTTCGTTCAGCCTTCGATTTGATGTCACTTTTCGTCTTCAGCAGCACGCTGAAATTTTTTCGCGGTATGTTGTACGCTTCGGCAACGCTGGACTTCTTTTCTCCTTTTCCAACGTGGCAGATGATTTCAAGCTTCGTCGCAAATGCCAGCGGCGTACGTTTCTTTACGTTTTGTTGCCATCAGTAGGCCATATGCGGTTGACACAATGTCGGAAGGATTAACGCGGAGGAACGAAACTGCGGGAAATACGCACAGCGCATGAAAAGAGCGATACTGGCGAAGCATGCTGGCGATACGATTGAGCTGACTGGGCGACTGAGCCCGTATGCCGCCGAGTCTGGATGGCGCTCCTGGCACCATAGGCATAAAGCTTTACGCAGGCATTCACTTGTAAAATTCGCTAACGCCTGCTGCATCCTCTGATGTGTTGCGGGAAAGCCTGCTGCCTGTCTCCGGAGCGCACGCTTTTCAGCGGTGCGGAGTTCGATATATTAATTTTTAAGCCGACAGAGTTTGGTACAAAAAATTTAAAATGCATGTAATTCTTATGACACTTCGACAACGATTCGATATAAGCAATAATTCCATATATCTGTGTTCCATATAATAAGGTTTGACTGTATCATCTCCCCTTATTAATTAAACCTGTTATGAGCGTATATACAAAAATGCACCCCCAATTTCGCCAGTGTCGATGGCCGATATCCGTAGCTGCTGCGAAACATCACAAAACGCAAAGGCTTGTCAGATGGTCGGGATAACAAACGTTGGTCGATGGATGTCTTGTATTTTGTTTAAAATTATATAGTCTTCTAGACTGTACCCTACTGAAATATGTTCCAATGCAGTTCCCAAGCGCGTGCAAAAAAATCTCACGCTTTTTAGCAGGATATTACTTGAAAACAGTCGTAAGCATTGAGCAAACGTATGCCGTTTCGCACAAACACAACTCCGACGACCACCAATCGAACTAGAGGCGCTTGCAAAGCAAAGGATGCAGATTTTGCCTCTGAAGCGGCACCTAGGTTCACAAAGCGGCATCTGGGTACACATCGGCAGATCCACTGGATCGGTGATGAGGCTGCGGGTCGTTCCCTCAGAGACGATGTCCGCGGGTCGAAGGCAAACGGCAAATCATTCAAATGCATGTTGTCACTTGACTTGAACGAGCTTGGTGAATCGTAGCCACGCTCCATTTTCACACACGAGTCAAATAGAATCTGGCTGCACGCGTGCTAAATACAACTTTTGGCATCGCTTCCAGATGGCCTAGCTGTTGGTTTCGGTTTCGCTGAATAATCAAACCGATTGATCCGATTTGGGCGAAGAGTGGGTGGACGTGTTCAAATAACGTTGGCACAGCCTCGCACCTCAGTTTACGAGCCTTCTGTCCGCTTAGAGCTCGGCTCATCACTCGTTTTTTTTTTTGAGATGATTGCTGCATAAGCGGGATCTCGATCTTGATGGGAACCCGGTCCCTACGCACGGCGACGATCCATTTTGCTCGTCATTGCACGTCTTGCGGAAAAGTGTTGAATGTCACATCTCGGCTCGCATGTGCTGTTCGGTGGTTGAGGCACCCAACCACGCTACAAAAATCTCACCCACCCACAAAACAAGTCGAGCGCAACAACAAAAACGAAGCACACTGTGGCGTTCGCTTGCAGGCCAACAACAAGACAGAAATCATGATATTAAGATCCTGAGACTGTGATTGAAATTTCAAAGAAAAAGTGCAAGAAAACAAAAAAAGGGGACAGGACAAACGTCTCAAACTCAGCTCCGTTTGTCCTATCCCCTTTTTCTGTATTCTTGCACTTTTTCTTTCAAATTTCATTCCCAGTCTCAGGATTTTAATATCATGATCAACATACATCAGCTTACCTGCACCATTACAATTTTTTCGAGACAGAAATGATTGCGTTGCGTTGTGCGACGTCAGAGGTCCAATGTTGCCAACGAAAGCAGCGTTTATGCTAGGATGCGACTGGAGCAGTAGAAATTCGATTACCCATGCAGATGGGAATATAAAACTCAGATATTGCACTTACAACGCGTCTCGAGGCAAGAACAATGATATCCAATTGTTCTCTCAAATACAAAATTCGACCAAACAATCTCTCTAAAGGTCATCCCAGCAATCACCCCCTTCCCCCAGCCCAGTGATATTGACAGAAATGCATTGGCTTAAAAGGGGCAGAATCACATTTTTGTATGTTTTTACGCTAGGTGGCACAAGCTAATGCCTGTTACAAGGGGTACAACCATTAACATCTATCCTTCCACCCATCCATATTTTGACCAAACATGTAAATATTGTATTTTTATATAATTAAACAAAGGCGAAACTTCCTCGACCTAAGAGTACTTCCGGCTGGACTGCACTTTGTGTTTCAATTACCAAAAAAGAGCAGAGTGTCTCTGAAGCTTTTCTTTCTGTAGAATCCAAAAGGGTGTGTCAAAACGATATACCATAGATCAATGAGTGTACCTAGACCATATGAGGCCAACAATAAGCAGAGTTGCCCATTGGGCCTCTGTGCTGAAAGTTATGTGTCCCCTTGCGACAGTACATTGGAAACCCAGCCATTTACACGGGAGAGACTCAACAAAGTTGGAAACAAATCAACTGAGGCCATTGTAATAATGTTGTTAATGGGAAGTGAGTGCGTGCACCAGCTCACGTCGCTTCAATAACTGCCTAAGTGTCGTGACAGTTCAAACTGGTCAAATGCTACCACCAGCAACTCGGTGGGCATTCGGCGGGTTGGCTGTTTGTCAAGCAACTTTGCGCCCTGATGTGATCTCTGTTTTTAAGAATGTAGATCCATTCTTGTACTGCCAAATTGTCCTGATGCTTCTTTTGCCATGTCTTTTTGCCCAGTTTTTAGCTGTTCAAGCAGGCAATATGCGCGTGTTCATAAGTGCTCTTCGACGTGGACTTACGAACTAGCAATATGCTAGTTCTCAAGTTGTCTTCGACGATCGTGCATGAAGATTATTGACTCCCTGCTCGCTCAAGTGCACTGTGCTGCCGAAGGTGGCATTCACTGGAGGCCAGAGTTCAGTCAGTTCCTGCTCAGCGCGAGCTTATGATTAGCTTTCACAACGCTTCCACAACAGGCATTGCACTCCACCAAGATCGTAGTTCTTCTCAGAAAAGAAGTGGGGGCTCGTTCTGACGCCTGCTTTCGTCGTGGTCTCTTTTCTCTCTCTTTTCTCAAACTCGCTTTTTGGCCGGCAACTTTATGGACGTGTATTATTATTCACAAGAAATGTTTGATATCTGCAAAGGCAAAGCAGTAAAACAGCAGTAGCATCTTACCTGACTGATTGAAACTGCTATTTTAAATTAGGCCTGTCGTACGTCTGGCGATATTGCAATAAACCATTTGCTATATTACCGAAGCATCAAGGAGACTGAAGGGATTTGTGGTCCACGTGCCACACGCGCACGCCTTTCCCGTATAAAAGTTTCGAAGTAAATAATCAAAATAAAACGTTGACGAACGTGCGTGCAAGATACAATTTGTTTTAGCTTTTTGCTTTAGAAAATTTACTACTGCTAAGGCCAGCACGTACGGCGCGTGGAACACCGATCCCTGCATTCTCCTTGATGCTTGAATAATATAGCAAAAGGTCTATACAAACTTCGGAAAACGCGATGGCCACGCAGTTGATTGCAGGGGTTGCCATCATGCTCGAGCCGGTAGTTCGGTTTCGCCGTAGACATGTGTAAATGTCTACGGCGAAAGAATGTGAACAAAAGCATTTTGCTTTAACAAATCAAATTATTATTATTGTATTATTAGATGTCTAAAAATAGTCAGCAACTCTTCATGCACGACACCTATGGCAGCATATGCCTCAAACTAAAATGTATATTTATTTATACTTTTCGTTGTCTGAACGTTCGAAAGCGGCAGACAAATTACTCTTTCAATCAATCTTTATATTCCAGCCTCTCTACTCACTGAAGAGTCAGGTGTGTGCAACCTACATATAAAAATAAAGCGAGGATTCCTTGTGTTTGTGTGAAATCGACACATATTCAAAGCGACTGGCCACAATTGAGTCCAGTGCTACGCTCGACGGCCACAGCCTGCGGAGTTTTTTATTTCGTGGAGATCCTTTCAATCAAAGCCATGCAGTCAACCGCAAAGCACTATGGCATCTTCCTAATCACCGGGCATGCGGAACACCACAAAACGCCGATTAAATTACAAAACACAAAACTTTACCAAGATGTTGCCTCTTAAAAGCATGCAACGAGTACCCAAATAGGAAAGGATTTTCGAACCCTGTCAAGGTGGCCAGAAGTGCACGGAATACAACTTCTAGGAACTTAACAATTAACTTGCCCAACATTCACTCAGCACTGCCATGAACTTCCTTTAAAATTCGTAGTTTGTTGCTTTTGCCTTCTCCAAGCCCAACACTTTTCACCATGCACACCTTTTTCTGGGATTTGAACTTCCTGTACAGACGCTTTACACACGTGCCAAATTACAACCGCCATTGCCGACCTTCTCCTGTCTTACCGAGATAGCAAGCCACTGAAGAGGGCTTTGGCAAGCCTCCACAAAAACATATGCTGGGGAGAAGGACACAGTAGAATCTGAAATGGCAACAACCTGCCCTGCTGTGGTAGGGATGGACGCAAGTGATAAAAATAAGAGGGAACAAAAACTGAAGGTTGGTTATGGCAGCGTCCATGCACAGCTGCTTTAAAGCATCTATAGGCCAGGAGCCAGAGTTGCGCGTTAAGCCGTCTTGAAATCCTAAGTGATGCGGCAAAGCCGCTTCTCGCATGTGTAGGAGCCGTGCTCTGTCGATTGCGGCCGGGCACGTCACTGAATTCCGCAGATAGAGGCGCCGCGCATGCCGC